GAGCTGATGATGAGGATTACGGATAGGGCTGTTACTTTTTCCAAGCTAAAGCTGTTTGACATGAGAGCATGCCACCAGAATATATTTCACAGATAAATACATAAAAAAGTAATTTGAATTGGTGATAAGGGTGCTCTGTATCTGTGGGCTAGCGAAAATCTGTCGACGTAAACATAGCTTCACAAATGCAATGTTGCATGTGGAGCACAAGCCAAAGATACCAGAAATATTCCACTCGGGTTTTGAACAGTTTTCTGTATTAACTCTGAATAAAAGATGTAATGAGATCGAACTGTAATTGTTCTTTGTTATGTTATAATTTTATCATGCCCTACATTGAGACGTAAGACCATAATACAAGCATATGATACCATGTAAAGTACTATTTTCTTTCTTGGTTTTGTAACTTTTTTCAATCAGTGTACAAGTATTTACATAAAAAGTAAATATATCCGTAGTATCAAGACTTTTACTGAGAAAATATTCAATGAAATAAAGCTTTTCAAAGTACTATTTTATTTTAAATATTTATTAGTGGCTTTAAAAAAATCCATATTTCTACTTCAGTAAGTTGGTTACAATCATTTTTGTTCACTATTAAATATGATATATAACAGCATTAGTCAAGATTTTAAAATCTCCAGCTGATCATATTTTGTTTCCCCAGGTTAGCAGCAGGCAGGTCTCACATTACTGACTCTTTTGTTCACATATTATCGCATAATTTCCTTTTTCTGAATATAAAGTATGTAGCCTTTAATAGATTAGAAGCATATCATTATAAGTTATTTTATGCTAGGACACCATTTAAACTAAGGAAAGCTATTAAGCACAATTTTCTGTCAACGGAATTTCCTGAGCATTGCTGTTAATCAAAGTAATTTTAAAAGACTTGTATCTAGATGATAGCTGTTTGGCTCTAGGTTATGTGAATATGATTTTGAAATGGTTTTGATTAACACCAATGCTCAGGAAATTCATACCTAGGAAAAGTGAATTTTAATAGGCTCAAAGATGTTAAGGCCCCACCACAGTTAGGTATTGAACAAGGGAAAGAAAAAGATTTAAGTATCATGGAATCTCAACACTGAGGCTTTAGTACTGTAAAATGGGATCTCTGCCTAGCCATTGCCTGGAAGCATTCAGCACTGGTAAAGTCGAAATTAGTATGGGTAAATATTTTATCCTCCCTGCCTGCCTTTAGAAACCTTTACTGTGAATTCAATTTTTTGCCCCTCTCTCTTTTTTTTTTTTTTTTTTTTTTTTTGGTAAACTTTCCTGTTATCAAGACCTCCTGTAGATATTTTTTTCCATAAATGATTTTCTTTTAATATTTCATAGTTGTATTCTTTTAAGTTCTTTAAAAGTACATTTGAATTGTAAATATATGTATTTTATTTTACAATTATTTTCAAAAATAGGTTACTGACAAAAGCACAAACTAAATGAATTTCCATGATGCAATTTACTGATGAAATTACCATGGAAAAAAAGCATTATAGGACTTTTTAGGAAAGGCCTGTTACTATCTATCTGGTTTATGGAGTTTCTATACGTGTCCCTGTTCTAGAAATGTTGGATTAAAATGGTGTCCCGATGTCACTAAGCCATTTCCCTGCTGTTACAGGCAGCCATATCACATATTCTCTTTAGAAGCAGATCAAATTCCTTCTTGTAACTGGTTATGTTTTTTGCTTTCACTTCTATCATATAGGCATTCTAGAACTATTTCTGATGGTTAGAAATATTCTATTTTTTAACAAATTTATTAATAGCCATCTATTCTTTTGTCAGTTAGTCTCAACTTGATGCTATTCCTGAAATTAACCATATTCCTCCTACCCTTTATTGCACTAAAGAAGTCCAACTTTTCTACTGTCCTGGTCAGTTATGCACTAAACTGCTGCAGCTTGCAGCCTCATGGTTTTTAATTCATGTGTGATGTGCATTGGCTTTTTTAAACTGCCCATTCCAACAGGCTGAAAATGCACTTTTTCAAATTTACGACTGTAGCCTAGCATTGGAGGGAGGTGCAGCAACAAGCCAAAGAAATGACAGTGGAATGGATGAGGTACCAAATCACCAAAGTATGAAAGCTTTGAAGGAATGTGTAAAGCAGTACAAAGCATGTGAGTGTTTGGGGTTAAAAAAACATAATTCCTATTTTAATCTAAAAAAAAGGTAAGGTAAAAATTAATATTTCTAAGAAAATAAAGCTTCTCCTTTTAAACTTCTTAATTCTAACTCATTTCAAACTTTGACTTAAATGGAAGTGATCCTTCAGTGTGACTTTTTGGATGAAAAGAATACCACCAGAAGCATATATACCTCAAGCATTACAGCATTTAATTCTTTAGGTTCATGTTTACTGAAATGAAATCTGGGACTCGAGTAAGCTATGTGTGCTTTTCAAGCACCTGGCAAAGTTCTGTGTTTCTGGATGGGATTCACAACAGCCAGTTTCGAAGCAGGGAAGTGCCTACGGACAAACCTGGACATGCAGTTAGGCACAGCAATATGGTGCGGAGAACTTACTGCTGATTGAAAGAACATGTAGGGTAAAGATGCCACCTGATTTAGGAAGCAATTGAAATAACAGCTCTGAGATGATAACGCTGGATTTGAATAAAATATGTATGTCCAAATCTTTTTTAGGAATTGACACTGACTGCTTAGTATTTTTTGTACCATGACTGAGACCAAAATGTTCTCATTTCTTAGGAAATGCTGCTAGACTACAGCAACTGTATTATGGACATGTCACTTTGTCCTTTTTCCAGTGAATCATGACTTCTTTGCTGTACAGTACGTACAACAGGTGAAATGAGGACAGCTCACATAAAGGAGCTGATGATTAAGGCACTTTTCCATTCACACTGCCTGTTGTTGCAGAAACTCTCCGATGGAAGGAAAGGACTCTGGACATAATTGAATTCTCTGTTCATTAGGCTGTACCTATAGTGTCATGACTACCAACACCATTCCTGTTGTTTTAAAGGGGGGAAAAACCAGAAAGCTGTACTCAAGTTTATGCAGTTAGTACCTTCAAATATGAATTCCAGATTGTAAATCAAAATATATGGGAGACATCTTTCTGCAGTGATAAATCAGTTACTAAGTTTCAAAAATGGACAAGATTTTAAATTGACCCCAACATCTACTATTTCTTAATAGCTTCCTTTGAAGCAGGTCCCTGGTCAGACTATTTGCTGTTCTAAATCTCACTCTAAAGCACCTAACTCTGCCCCTTGTGAAATATGAGAAACTGAGGAATATATTGCTAAATTTTACTTTGAGGCCTCAATGCAAAAATGTTCAGTGCGTGTCTTACTCAGCCTAGTTCATCATACTTAATCCTCACGTGTGCCTATTTTGGGGTGAAGACTCCTTTGAACTGCAAAGTAGTTAGAATTGGGGTATTGGCACGCTTGAGGAACTGATTCTGGGAAGCATACTTTCAATACCTAATTTCCTTTACCTTTTTAAAAATCCAGCTTCTGTACTTAACCCCTATTATGAAACTAGATCCTTTTATGCTTTAAAAAAATACTGATTTTCAAGAGTATTTTTCTGCCTAATCCACACTGTCTTCAACTGGATATAAATAAAAAGGGCTGAGGAGCAGCTAGTATTTTGTGTATTGATACAGATAGTATGTTTTTTATCAGCCTACAAATATGTATTCAAAACCAATAAATATAAACATTTTAAATGGAATAATATATTTAAGAATGTACATATCACAGTTATTTTAATAAAATATGGTGGGTTTATTTGTGTAGTTATAAAAGGTGTGTTCATCCTCAATCTTTGACCTTATGTGATTCAGGACAACTGAAATGTGTGCTGCTTCATCTTCAGTGTCAAGCTGTTTTCCATAGTATAAATTAGAAATTGCCTTTTTCAGCTAAGTGAAAAATTCAGCTCTTCTGAGATTTTAATTAAGAATTGTTTGTCTGATTTAGAAGATGATAGAAAGAAGGTATTTATTTTCCTCCAATTGCTGAAAGGTGATCGTACTTCTAAAATTTGCTGAGATTGTCCAAGAAAGTGTATAAAATCTTCATCCATCACTGTGAGCCCCTGGTCAGGGAATGACAGTGCAGTAAATATCTTCAGCAGCTGCCTTTTAATGTACAAGCTGTTTTCAGTAGGAATTTTCAGCACTCACATAAAACACACTGTCATGAGTGACTGCCTGCGCTCCAAAGTCATTACTATTGGGATGATGGAATATCTTTCAACGAATAACCAAAAAACTTTAAATGTCATGTCAAGTTTGTTGAAGCCATTTTCAAGCCATGTTCAAGGTTACATGAATATTGAGTATGCTTGTTTTTAAGAAGTTTGAGATCTATGAGAGAATCACTCAGATGCTAGTGTAGAGAACAATCACTTTAGTTGGAGAGAAAAAAAAAAATCCTGTCTCTTACTATATGTCAGTCCAGCAAAGCTTCTGAATCTTAAACTAGTAGCACTTCTTGTGATAGTTAAGACCAGTGATGTTTAGCAAAAAGCAGCAAAAGTTATGCAAATTTCTAAAATTGTTTAGCTGCCTAAATGATCATAAAGCAAAGATATGTGATCACTATGGATAATTAAGCTGAAATTTTTTTTATGAATTTAAAAATTTGATTAATTCCAAAATATATAGGAAATATAATTATCTAGATACAATTTTGGAAGCCACTGTGCAGTGCTGAGTGCTCTGTTTTCTCTTTGACTCCAGTGTGAAAGGAAGATCTTGGAAGCATCTATCCCTGATTTTGTGGATAATGGATGCTAATTTAATAAAGGAAAGTAAATTCTGTATCACTTCCAGTGGACCAAGCTCACTGCTTCTGAACTGAACTTCTTGCCTCCCTTGTGATTATTCCTCCTTCTAGTACTTCATCTGCATGTAAAATTTTGTCTAAACAAGACGTGCTTTTATAGTAAAATACTCAGTTTCAGTATTTTGTGATTGTGAAATGACGTTTGTTTTGTTTTTTCTTCCACAGAGAACCAGAAAGCACAACTAGAGAAGTCATGTTCACACCACAGTATCAGCTTAAAGTTGACGAGAAGCCCAGTCACCAAAGAGATTTCCTATGACATGGAAACAAATTCTTCTACAGCATGGAGCAAGGCTGCTGGGAGAAAGGAAGCCTGTAATGGAGAAGGCAACAAAGAAAAGAAAACAGAGCGTATTGGGTCTCCTTCTAAAGGAGAAGCCATTCCAGAAGTAGAAGCTCTCCTGGCAAGACTGCGAGCGCTCTAGGATAATCATATGAAGGATTAAATCAAAACACACTATAGTAGCTTACATCTTTTAAATATACACTAACTTTCAATTACTGACATTACATACTTTTGAGTTCTCAATATGTGAATACTCCACTCCTAAACTGTACAAAGTGGTACTATAGTATTGCTTAACTGTAAGCAGATTGTTATGTATTTTTATCTATCGAGCATGTGAAAAATATTAGAAGAAACAGATACTAAATTATTCCAAGGCACAATCATTTTAGTGGACACACTGCTGACCACAGTGTTTTGAGAGCTTCTCAAAATAGAAGTAAAATACCTTCTAAATATTGTTAAATCATCATGCTGGGGAATCAGGGTCAATAAATAACAGGAAAAGTATTCTTATATTTTGTACTACAGTTTTTATGCTTAAGTGATTTTAGCACCTAAGAAGTATTATTATAGCATTCTTTGCAATTGTAATGATGGGAAATGTGCATCATCTCAATTTCTCAGCCATGTTCCAGTTTGAGGTCACTGAAGAGCACCAAAGCTTTCTGAATTATATATGCATTTACAAAATGGAAATCCATGGACAGTAAACAAGAAATCTATGCAAAGAATATACTTTAGATATGATTAATATATCACTGCTGTTAAGCTTAGTTATGATGATTATTTCAAAATAATATATACAGTTTCTGTGAATGCAATGCTTTGCTGTTGTGTCCATAGCAGGAGAAAAATCTTTCTTCAAATTATTTACCAATATAATCTTTTAACTTTTCACATATGAGTTAATATGTTTTTGTAAAAGGAACATATAATGGAAAAGATTTTTACAATTGGGTTTTCACAACCTCATTTTCCAGTAGCCTATAAAGTCATTTGCTGGCACAATAGGAATCTTGCACATAATTGCATCTCTTTTATCGCATTGTCATTGTACATTGTTACATGTTGGCTATCGTATTTATTAATTGCACATCATAAGGAATTTCTACCTATGTTATCAAGTAGGAAGCTACTATTAGTATCTTTGCTCCATTATTTAAAGCTTCCTTATAATAAAAGTGTATTAGTTATCTAATATCTTTCTTCCAAATTACTCTATTTTTCTTTACAAAATCCTGAAAAATATGTCTTTCAATAAGAGGCAGTTACATGAAACCAGTGTTTCAATGCTTCAGTGCTTTTTATATCCTTGTTTAAGTTGCCTTCTTACTTCCTGCACTAAACATTAATAAAGTTAATTAGAACTCTGAAACTAGGCCTGTTTATAAACACTGCATGGGGTGTTTTTCAGCCATCATGGGAGTCAGTCTCATGTTTCTGGGTTTGTTGTAACTCTCTAATTACACTTCCACTTTGGCTTTAAAAAATACAAGCTATAAACAGAAATTAGATATGTAAAGATGCAGAGAAATCCAGTCAGACGGTCATCTCTTCAGCCCTACTTACAAGCAATGGGCAAAGCTGTCATATCAGGCTGCCTCTGGTAGCTTGAAATAGCATAGAATTGGGAATTTAATGCATCTTTAATGGATGAGTAGCAAGTGCTGGTCCGCATAATGTAGTAGAGTATGAGTCACAATGGAACTGACAATTTCCTGTACAATTACTACAGTAAATTGTATGCAATAATTGTATGTAATACGATTATTAAAGTTCCACTAAGCTCTTTTCCACCACAATCCCCGTTTACAGGGTACAGTACAAATAGTAATCTACAAAGTACATTATATTTGACTAACTAAAATAGTATCTCAAACATGAAGAGAATCTCTGTTGAAGAAAAATATATATATATTAACCACCTACTGGATGTCTTCAAATGCTGAAGAGATGCTAAAAACAAAAGGGTTGGAATGGAGAACTGAATCTAAAATACTAACACAGTGACCTCTTAAGTAAAGGTGGAAGCACAAATTCATTGCCCTGACTACAGTAAATTTGTTCATTTGAATTAGTGGCTGAGAGTCCACAAGAGAAAACTGACAGTTCAGGACACTACTGTGTAGTAGTATTCAAGAAAATAAAATTTACAAAACTGTATTGGAATTTTCAATGAGCAGAGAGCTTCTAGCAGCCTAGCATCTTCTATTTTTAAATAAGTATTCATACTTAAAATTATAGATTTTAAGCCACCTTTTTTACAGTTTGAGAAGCTTTTAGAAGTGTATTCCAGGGCTTTTAGTCCTGCTTAGACATTGTATTTCTGAATTAATCTTTTCAAGCATCCATCAAAATAATTCTTAGTTTCTTTTGAATAACTAGAATAATATTAAAAAAAATAAAAAATCTGTACAACTTCTTAGAACCCATTCAAATACAATATGTAATTGTTTTTCCCTTCAATATTTCTTTGTACCGTCATAATTTGACTGATTCAGAGTTGTCCAGTAGAAATACACAGTAGGTTTTATTTCTACATTTCATCTTTCTCGAACTGAACAAAAAATGACATTTTAAATGGGAAAAATACTTATATTGCCTTATAAGTTCAGGCAAAAATAAATTTGAAAACATATCTGCATTCTATTTCTAAGTATTTATATTTTTGTTAAGATACAAACCTCAGTTTCTAAATTGTGTGGAATAAATTGTTTGGGATTCTAGTTTTATTTCAATTCTCAATTTTTAAGAATTAGGGAACACTTTTAATGCTGTGTGCTAGTTATGTTTAGTAAGACATTTATACTGACTATCAAGTCTATTGCTTGAACTATAGGACTGAACCGTATGCCACTTGTGCTAGATATTGAAGAAGGTTCCGCATAGAGTAAAAATCTTCTGTTTCTATAATTCATATGTGAAAACTAAATCCTTATAAAAAGAGCTTTCTGATTTCTTCAGACATGACTATTTAAATAAAAGTGTTTTAAATGAGATAATCTTGTGAGGTACATTCCACTGCTCGTTCTTTACTTGAACAGCACACGCAAGGCACAAATACCAACAACTTTTCTTTTCAGTACAACTATAAAGGTCTAACACTTTTTTGATTCTTCACATTAATTTTGGATGACTTTTCATTTCACTCAGTAAAAGAATTTTGATTACTACATCAATTTTTGGTTTATGTATACTATATTATTCATGGCGGTAGTCTAAATTCCTCCATACAAAATTGTAATGTTTTGACCTTATCAAAATATTTATGTTTGCTATAAGTCTCCTCAAGCTGTGCACAACCAAGCTTGACATCTGGCTTGTGGGCCGTAGGTAATATAGTAGGCCATGGGAACCCAGTAGGAAAAATGATGGTAGCAGCTTTATTACAAAAATAGCATAACAGCATCAGGAGGCAATGGTTGCTGTAAGACGGGATGATCTTCTGAACCAGGTGCACCATGAATGGAGCAGGGACCAGCAACCTGAAAGAATTTTAGTCACTTCCCCCCACCCCCTTACTGATGGCAGCACCACTGCTTATGAGACAGAAAAGACCACATGTTAAAAAAAACCTCACAGTTTTTATAAGCCCCCTTCCTCCAGCACATCATTAACATAATTTTCCTTGCTTTAGGAAGGAAACTCACCTACAGCCACTTCATATGCGTGAATCTCACCCTGGCCCAGGCAAAAGCACACTCTCTTCCGAACTGAGTGAGTTAATGCTGAGTGGCTTGAGGTACTCCAGACCTTAAAGCTTTTGCAGTAAAACCTGAAAAAGGAGACATTTACTGCTAACACTTTTTCCGCATCTGTTTCTAGCAAACAGGACTAAATTACAATGTTTTAAGCTAATCTTTATAAGCATTGCAATACTTAGTAACTATAAAACAAATGAGCAACAAGCAAGGGTCAATAAACCTTCAACTGCGCTACGTAAAACATTATAATAAGCAAGCAGGGTCAAATAAAAGAGCTCAGAAAAAAATTACATGAGTATATTGTTTTCTCTAGAACAAAATGCAACAAAGCTAAACCACTTTCTATTTTTTTTAATATATTTGATGTGGGTTTTACACAACTGAACTAGAGTAGAAAAATACCTTCACTTATAATTCAGTTCGTGGAACCGTTACCTAGTTTATGAAATAAAAACTACTAGACTTGCGATTTTATCAGTTTTGAGTCTTATTTTATGCCAAGATTACTATATTTAAGAAACTGTAAAATGACCATCTGCTACTAAATTAACTATGCCATGGATTAATCAGTCTATCTGAATTAAATTATTTTGGCACAGAAAGCAAACACATTTTCTTACTCCCTATATAATAACCTTTCTATATCACACTACTGTGTATTCACCTAAAGTATAATATTAAGATTGTGGCTATATATTTTATTGTAAAACCATACTGATAAAACGTTTTAGTCATTCCAATACCAGTAAAGAATAAACAAGAGGTGATCCAGTTACAATTTTTTCCTCCTTCCCAACTATAGCAATAGCCATTATGTTTGTTATGTTAGTTGAGTACATTTTAAACCCTTCTGTGTATTTATTTCCTTCACTAATTTTTTTTTTTTTTTTGCTGTGAACCATGCAGTGTTTTACATTGAATTGTTATTAATGGAAATGTTTTCTGACAACATACCACAAATACACTGAGCAGATGACTTGTATCCAACATCATCCTATATACCACAGGAGGTATAACACTTGCGTGTAATCTGACTAGAGGCAGATAGATAAAGTATTTCACTCAACCAAAACAGAACTGTTCCTTTCATCTAAGTAAGCTTATTCCATTGTTAATATCAGAGCAGGATGTATTCTGAGATAGTAATATATCCCTATTTTTAAATCTGTGTTATGTTAGGCAGAAAAATAAACTATGGAAAGACAGAACTGAGAAGACTGGGAAGCAGAGTTGATTAATGTGCTGCCTTATTTCACTTGTGGGACCTGAAATTGCATCTAGTGCAGAATGAAGCAACTGGAAAAAAATAGTCTCATCTGACATCTTTAAAGGTCATGAAGGAAATGATGGTAGGTGATCCAGAGTTGGTATGGCCACAGGTGTCTTGTCTATTCAAAGACATATATCAGAATATCCTCCGAATGGCAATGCTGTTGGGCTGTTAGTTCTCAAAGTGCTCAAATGAATAAAGGGAAGGAAAAGTCTGACAGAGATAGATATGAGCCCCCATAAAAACCTAAGAATATTTTTTTCTTAAATCCAAGGGTCAATCCTGCTCCCATTCACTTTGATACATACAGAAAGGAGATGAGGAATCTGAGATGAGTCCATATAATGATAATATCTCTGTGCTGCCCTGCTGGAAAATGCTGTTCTTGGTATCTGCAGTGGCTGACATAGAGAAAGTTGCGCAGAAGGCAGTCTGTCCCGATAGTGTTTCAGACTCTGGAGAAAGCCAGATATAGGGGTCAAGACCAGCGAATTTAGGGTCAAAATCATGGGTTCATAATAAGAAAAGAACAGTTCTACAGACAGAAATTAAATATAAAAAATAAACTATATTTTATGTATTCTAAAATCTTAAGATGTCCAAATGGCAGCAGAATACCTGCATACTGCTGATAAAAAAAATCTTAAGCAATGTCAGCTAGAACAGCAGCTCTCCAGCTCTGATGACTCCACACGATCTACATGTTCAGTAGGAGCTTTCTAATTTATTTAAGTTTCTTTATTGCTCAATCTCTAATTGAGATTTTTCAGTTCAAACCAAGCCATATAAACGTCAGTTTATAAGAGTTAGTAAAAAAATGGCTTCTGTAAAAGCCGCTGCTCAATTTGTTGCATTTTAATTTGAAGACTGTTGTATGTAGTTGAAAACGTGCAGTACAACAAGCCTCCTTCCATTAAGTATGACAAAAATGGCAATTATGCAGTCTGTTGATCGAATTTTTATTAATGAAGTGTAGTTTCTGCTAATGGATGGCAAAGCAAAATAGTCAAGTCAAACAAGTCATCTTCACAGTACAATGTAAGATCCATCAATTTTGCCCAGGATTTCTCCAGTAATGAATCTCAGAGTACAACCCATCAGTGTTTCTCCTGAAAGACTACTACTGGGGCAGAGGAACCACAGAAAGGGGAATGACATGAAAAATGGGATAAGAGCTTTCCACACCTTAGAAGTGGAATTGATTGTGCCAAATTTATCTCTGAGGTGCCCGTGCACTGCATTAAAAATGCATCGACAGAAAAAATGTGATCCCACTGCGTCTTTGGTGGCACTTTGCCATTCTGTGCTGCAGCATCACTGTAAGATAACTAAAATCATATTGTCACAATTATCCTTGAGTCAACTGACGTTGTGGCAAATCAGATGGAACAGTAACTGAAGTGGTAAGAGATTTTTTTCAGTTAAGGTATAACAGGTTCCACCCTGCAAACTCACACTGCAGGATTTACTACTGAAACCTCAAGATGAGGGGGAACAGGAGCCAGCTTCTCCCTGTCCCTTTTGCGGGCAGTGTGGAGCAATCTAGCCCATAAGGAACAAAATGATCTCTCATTAACTTCAGCTCCAGAATACAATTTTCTACTCCTTGATTACAAAATCCCCAATGACAGATCAAAAGTTTTTATTTTTCTCAGAAGGACCACACTACAGTAAATCTTTCCACAAACTAATAAACAGTTTAAATTCAATAGCACCTGGATAGAGCATCAAAATCAGCAGGCAAGAACAAATTAAACTCTTCCTGAGAAAGGCTGTGCAGAATCATTGCTTCCCTTTCCCCTTCCTCTACATATACTACTAAATACCC